GAGCTGGCAAGGGTGGAGAACAGGATTTCCTGGTCTTGCAAGAGGCAGCAGCTTCCTTGGAAGCCGTCTCTGAGAGCTTAGCTCAGAGTCTGTTTCTTTAGGCAGCCCACTCACTCTGGAAACTCTTTCATGCTCTGAAACAAATCTCCTTCGGCTTAGGCCAGCTGAAGTCGATTCTGTTTTCTGAACGCAAACCTCGGTCAACACAGAAGTCGAGGGAGGACATCTGCTTAGGTTATGGCCCGCCGTTACTTTAGTCAGAGAATGAAAGCCTTCGGAAGTCTTTCCCAGTGCACCCCCCTGGAACCTCTCTGATGTAAGGATACATCTGATTGGAAAGGCAAATCAGAAATCATGTTGGTGACACGAGACTATTGATCTGAGGGCCTGGCCAGCAGTCATTTGACATTATGAAGATGCACAGGCTCTATATTGGCCAGATATGAACACCCCGGTCACTGCAGAGGTGTAAATGGAATCAGGGAGAGAAGGATTCATCAGTGTGATGGTAACTTCCAGGATGGCCTCCCACGGATCGTTCTATTCTCACATCTGTGAGATCTGTGACATACGTCTGCATTTCCCTGGACTCTGAGGGTAAGAACCCATTCTTTGACAAGTGGGCAATCAGCCCCTCCAGTGCCCCAAAGCCGAGGCATCATTTGTAAATTAATTCAACGGCATGGACCCTTGGGCAGTCTTGGAGTTTGAGTGGTATAAAGAGGGTTCCTAATGCTCAGTCACTTCTGGGTGAACCAACAGATGGCACGTGTGGACTTACTCCGTTGAGGCTAGAACTTGGACTTCTGGTCACCCCTGAGACCCAACCTGAAACATAGAGCATTCCCGCCACACACAGCTAGTGCTGCAACAGGAGTTGATGGGAGCAGGGTTCTCCAGGAACACTGGGCAGCTTCTCCGATGAAGCTAGTGACAAACATAAAGCTCAATAACCAACAGCTTGTGGGCCAATCAGGAAGAGCCACAAGAGCAGTGCTGCTTGTCCTGAAGATGCTGCCACTCACGGCTCTTCAGCATCTCTCTTACAGCGATCCTGACTCCCAGGTGCGATGCCAACACTCTAGGAAGCAGACAGATATCAACAGGAATCCTTTCTGATGGGTTATTATTCCCCATTCCCATAGAGAATGTTAAAGAGCCCTGGCGGAGCAACCATGACATGCGTGGCTGTTACCAGAGAGGTCGGTGGTTCAAAACCATCCTGACATTCTGCGGGATAATGACCTGATGACCTGCTCCTGTAAAGATTTACAGCCTACACAACTCAATGGGACAGTTCTGCCCTGTCACAGGGGCCACTCTGATTTGAAATCAACATGAGATCACCTAACCACCACTACTACCACATCATAGAGTACTGTGTTAGAGAAACAAATTCATAGACACTCATATATGTGTGAGAGAGAACATTCTATCAAAGAACAATTGTACATTGAGAAAAACATCCCAGCCCTGTCCAGATCAAGCCCATAAGTCTGATATTAGTCCATATGTCTGATACCAGTCTATAAATTCCTTTTTAGACTCACACACCCATGCAATGATGCCGAATGCAGGAAGGTCACAGATCAATGGGTGGAAAGTCTTGTGGAACCAGTGGTGGTGGAAGCATCTCAATGCTGGCATGGGACTCCGTGTGGTTCCTCCAGCTCCAGGGCTCTGGCTGCATCAGCATAGCTCCATGTGGCTTGCCAACAGGAATGTCTCGTAGGGAGTGAGTGTATCTGGCCTCCAGTGGGCTATTTATCTCTGTTGGGCCTCTAAATGAGGTCATAAAGCTGCGACCTGATTGACAGGCTAGACTCCACCCCTTCACTCTTAATAGTCTCAAGTTGATCGTGTAACTACCACAAGTGTGTTAGTAGGCAGTGGTGGCACGGTGGTAGAATTATAGAAGGAGATTCTGGTTTTATTTCTGGACAGTGCAGGTTCATGTGTCGTTACGGTGCAGAATAGGCTTTAGCAGACCTTCCAGACTAAGATGGACTAGGAGGAAGGGGTATTTCTGAAAATCAGTCAGTGGAAACCCTATGGCTCACAAAAGCTCAGTCCCCAGGCCATCATGGAGCTGGGGCTGTATTTCACGAGTCAGGATTAACGTGACAGTAGCTCACCAGAAAAACGCACTGAATGTCCCAAGACACCCACACAGAAAGAGAACCACCGGGTAGATAGAATTTTCGGAGCTCTGATCACATACCTACATTAGAAAGCCCTCCTCTTGGGGCGATTTTCTCGATGGCTGCTTTCACATCTCTGGAATTCATGTGAGTCTTGAGGTTAAATTGGGTAGCGGGGTTATCTCTGGAAAGTCAGTGGAAGAAATAAAAATTTAGCTGGGAAGTTACAACTCTTGGAGAAAAATGGAAATCATCGTCAATTCTTCTGTATACACATAGAATAGAAGCTGCTTCAAAGTCTAACTGGCTTGAAAGTGCCGACCAACCATTCCGAGGGAGAAAGATGAGGCAGTCGGCCTCTCTCAAGATTTACAGCCCTGGAAACCCAACGGGGCAATTCTCCTCTGTCCTTGATTCTCCTCTGTCCTTGAGGGCCACCGTGAATCGAAATGAACAGGGTGACTTTGGGTTGTCAGACGTAATGGAGGGAGGAGGAGACCAGCGTCTCCCTCGGTGTATGCGCTGAGAGACAGCTTGTTTAGAATTCAGCAGCCAGGGCTTCTAATTCTGACAGTGCCACTTCTTAGCTGCGCAGCCCTGGGGAAGTCCCTTCACTTTTCTGAGCCTCAGTTTCCTCACCTCGATACAAAGCAAACGTAACCCCCAGTGTACTGTTAGTCAGCAGGACGGCCATCAGTGGGACTTTGGAAACATGAGGATCATCAGTGGGACTTTGGAAACATGAGGATCCTGCCTATTGAGGGCCCAGTGTCCCTGGATTGTCCCAGACCCTCCTGTACAGGAGGATAATTTATGCTACTAGTTATTTCCCGAGTTCCCCTTAGAACTGGAATTGCCACGGGCGAGGCAACATCTCGTCTTCCTTAGCCCGTGGCTCCTGACATCAGGCGAGACCATCAGGTCTCAGCCTGAGGATCCATGTCTATCAGGAGCTGAACAAGATGAGCTGGTGATTTCTTAGCCGCTGTCACCTTGGCCCCTGCCACATGGAAAGCACATGCACGATGGAATGAAACGGGCTGCCTGGTCCTGGGCTGTCCCCGGGATGTGTTGAGGACTGAACCCTGGGGTTTTCTGTGGCTGGTTTTCGGAAGTTGGCCTCTCTGCTTTCCGTCCTAGCCTGCTTTAGTCTAGATCAGTGGTTCTCCACCTTCCTCATGCCGCCACCCTTTCATACAGTTCCTCGTGTGGTGGTGACCCCAACCACGAAATTATTTTCGTTGCTACTTCATCACTAATTTTGCTACTGTTATGAATCGGGCGACCCCTGTGAAAGGGTCATTCAACCCCCAAAGGGGTAGCGACCCACAGGTTGAGAACCGCTGGTCTAGATGTTCTCCTGACGGCTGTTCAGCATTTGGCAGCACACCTGGCTTCCTGGCAGACGGTTGTTGGCTGTGAATGAGGTGAACTGGCTGGGAGTTGAACTCCAGTCTCCAACATGGACGGTCAAAATTCTACCAGGGAAAAACCACGGCCCCCCGGCCTGGCGAGGGGTTGGAGCAAATAAACCAGAGAAAAGACCTGCTGCGCAGGCCCCTCCTTCCCAGCCGGCACCCTTCTCTGTGTCTGTAGTCTTTCCTGCCGTCTCAAGGTGACCTAAGTTTGAAGAGAAAACGTAAAGAGGCTTGAAAGGCTGGGCTGCAGCCTGCCATTTTATTAGTGAATTCGAGGGACTCGTCTTAGACAAAAGTGGAAGCAAAATGACCAAAGGCATGCTTCCAGAGCAGCGGGGAGGGAGGACAGGAAAGGCTGAAACACACGCACGCACGCACGCATGCACGCACGCACTCGGGATCAAATCTCAGCTGGATCCAGTCCACCCGATGAAAGCCGAGTTCCCGGCCCACCCAATCCCATTCCCAGGCCTCTGACTGGCTCCCAGCAACCAGGGGGATTTCTAGTGTGTCGTCTTTATGCAAGCAGGCTGTCAGGCCTTGCTTCCGTGCTCCTACTCCTGGGTGGGTCCAAACTGCCAACCTTTAGGTTTGTATTACTCAGAGACCGGCTTCTGTGTATTGTTGTGGTTAGGTGCCATCGAGTCCCTTCCGACCCACAGAGACCCTCTGTAGAGCAGAACGAAACACTGCCCAGTCCTGTCATCCTCACCATTGTCCTCTGAGCCCATGGTTGCAGCCACTGTGCCCATCCAGCCTGTGAAGGGCCTTCCTTTCCTCGCGGCCCCTCCACTTTACCAAGCACGATGTCCTCCCGCCAGCATGTCCACAGTCTGTAAAGAAGTCACACCAAGCCGCCTCTAAGGAGCTGCTTCCAAGACAGACCGGTTTGTCCTTTTAGCAGTCCATGGTACTTCTGGTATATTTTTCTCCAGCACATGATTCAAACACATCAATTCTTCTTCGGACTTCCTTATTCAAGAGCCAACTTTCACGTGCCTGGGAGGCAATGAACAGTCCCATGGCTTGGCTCAGGTGTACCTTAGTCCTCAGAGGAACAGCCCTGCTTTCCAACACTGCAAAGAGGTCTTGCACAACTGACTTACCAAATACATTTCATCTTTCTGTCTCTTCTCTATCCTTTCCATGAGCGCTGACTGTGGATCCAAGACAAAATCCTTGACATCTTCCACCTTTCCTCCGTTCATCATGCTGTCCCAGATTGGTCCAGTGGTGAGGATTGGGGTTGTTGTTTTACATGGAGTCTTAAGCCACATACTTCTATGGATAGGACTAGCCAAAAAGCAGTTCATGCAGAACGGAGAAAGCTGAGCATTTTAGATGAGCTGGCAGCCGCAGCAATCACAGTCAGAGAGCAGATGACGGGGGAGGAGTCACACAGAGACGGAGCACTGTCGCAGCACTTTTCTTCCCCACGTGACTGAAGGGCCTATGCATTACATGTTACAGATCAATGCCCGTTGATGACCCACTCTCCTCCCAGCGACCGCACTCGTGGCCTGGATCCCCTCTTTCCTGACTGCACTAGAACCACCTGTGAGGAAGACCCTCTCCATCCATCCCTGCTTTTATTCCTGCCTCACTGTCTCTATGGCAACCCTGAGCTCCGGTCCCTTTTGCTTCTTAGAGGTTCTGTTCTCAGAGGCTCTGTGATACAATATAATGCCAGTTTTAAGTGTATCACCTAAGGAGCTCTGCCTCAAATTTAGCCCTGACCATACAAATTCCTTTGCTCAAAAAAAATGCCAGTGACTTTCATGGTTACTTTTCCTACTTGAATTTCAAAGTCAGCCCTCATTTCATTCCAATTTATCATTTGAATGCGTTCTCACTCATTCCCTTACCTTCTCTGCCTGCCCCACCGTATTCTATAATCTAGTCAAAATGAACTGTGATGGTCTTTCCCCATTCCTCCACCCCCAGTTTTGTCCTTTTGCTCACCCCTTTCTCTTGCCTGGAAAGCCTAAAGCCTGCCTCCATCTCCCCAAACTCCAGCTGCACTGACGACCTCGCTGCCCAATTCAGCCTTTTCTTTCCCACAGCACTTGCGCCTACCAAAAGCCGATCCAAGCTGGTCTATGCACAAGCACCCTGTTGGGTGGAGTGGAACTGCGCCCTGGGTTTCCAGCTGTACATCGTTATGGGAGCAGACAGCCTCCGCTCGCTCCCTTGGAATGGCTGGTGCGCTTGAACTTCGGACTTTAAGGTTAGCACTCCAATGCTTAATCTGTGGCACCTCCAGGACGCCTCTGCTCCCACAGCCTGATGAAACCAGGGTTTTTTCATTCTCACGCGTCTCTCTTCCTCTAAATGCTGTGGTTTCCTACAGTGCTGCCTCCATCATGGGGCTCTCCTTCTTCTTTTTAATCGTTTTATTAGGGGCTCATACAGCTCTTATCACAATCCATCCATACATCAATTATGTAAGGCACATTTGTACATTCGTTGCCCTCATCATTCTCAAACCATTTGCTCTCCACTTAAGCCCCTGGCATCAGCTCCTCATTTTTCCCCTCCCTCCCTGCTCCCCCTTCCCTCATGAACCCTTGATAATTTATAAATTATTATTTTGTCATATCTTGCCCTGTCCGACGTCTCCCTTCACCCCTTCACCAGGAGGTCACATGTAGATCCTTGTAATCGGTTTCCCCTTTCCAACCCACCCTCCCTCTACACTCCCAGTATCGCCACTCTCACCACTGGTCCTGAAGGGATCATCCGCCCTGGATTCCCTGTGTTTTCAGTTCCTATCTGTACCAGTGTACAACCTCTGGTCTAGCCAGACTTGCAAGGTAGAATTGGGATCATGATAGTGGGGCAGGGGTGGGGGTGGGGGGGAAGCATTTAGGAACTAGAGGAAAGTTGTATTTTTCATCGTTGCTACATCGCACCTTGTGGTTCTTCTTAAGGTATGCAGTTCACCAGGAAATCCCATCCGCTCCGGAGCTCAGGGGCCACTTGCATGCCAGGATACATCTGGTCCTCTCTCTTGAACACCCAAGATGCACCAGAAGGTGCCCATCCATCTCACGTCACTTTGTGGCACCCAGGGTGGTCACGCAGACACATCAGGTTCGAGAGTTCCCAAACGGAAGTCATTTATCCTCCAAACCTGCACCGCACAGTGAATCACTTCTTCTGCTCTTCCCTCTTTTGACTCTTCGAGCCATCCTGAGTGCTGTCCACGGCCGTCGGATCGATTCTGGTGCATGGTGGCACCATGTCTGCAGAGTAGAATTGCCCCATCGAGGTTTCAAGCCTGTGACCTTCAGTAGCAAATCGCCCAGCCATTCTTCCAATGTACCTCTGGATGACTTCACGCTACCGACCTTTGAGCTGCTGTATTTTCCACATATCATGTGTCTGGAGACATATCATGCACATGCATATAATATGCTTAGCATACACAGGAAGCTAATGTGTGAGGGATGGGAAAAACCAAACCACTCTAGTAATGCCTGCATTACTTTCATAAAGACAAGTACTAGTCATGTCCTTAGCCACTGTGCCACCCAGGGACCTGAGTCCCCAAAGCAGTATGCATTCTTGACTCCAGCCTCGTCAAACACCGGCCGGACCAGACTTACTTCTCCCGTTTCTCTTGTGTCTTCCCCGGCTTCCTCTAGTGGAAAGGGAAGATGAAAGTCCATCAGTGAACTTGCATTGTCTCTTTCCTGAACTTCTATTGGTCTTCTCCCTGGTCCTCGGCAGATAGCCTGTCTCATAGGTTCTAAGTGTCTCCAGA